TGAGTGAGTGAGTGAGTGAATGAGTGAGTGAATGAGTGAGTGAATGAGTGAGTGAGTGAGTGAGTGAGTGAGTGAATGAGTGAGTGAATGAGTGAGTGAATGAGCAAGTGAGTGAGTGAGTGAGTGAGTGAGTGAATGAGTGAGTGAATGAGTGAGTGTATGAGTGAGTGAGTGAGTGAGTGAATGAGTGAGTGAGTGAATGAGCAAGTGAGTGAGTGAGTGAGTGAGTGAGTGAATGAGTGAATGAGTGAGTGAATAAGTGAGTGAGTGAATGAGTGAGTGAGTGAGTGAATGAGTGAGTGAGTGAGTGAATGAGTGAGCGAGTGAACGAGCGAGTGAGTGAGTGAGTGACTGAATGACTGACTGAATGAGTGAGTGAGTGAATGAGTGAGTGAGTGAGTGAATGAGTGAGTGACCGAATGAATGAGTGAATGAGTGAGCGAGTGAATGAGCGAGTGATCGAGTGAGTGAACAAGGGAGGGGGAAGCTGCCGTATTTAGGGCTATAGTAGACACACTTAGCAGCCGGATGATTTGCGTGTAGAGCTGATCCCCCAACACGTGGCTGCCCACATCTTGCACAGAGGCAACACTTAAGGTCAAAGTGGACCTGGTATGTGCCCCAGGACCAGGACACTGAATCCCTGGGGTGGGCTTCCCCGCCTTGCACCTGCCCCAGGGCCACAGATGTCCATGGTCCTGCAGATGGCCATGGCCCTGAGTGCTCAGACCACTTCCTGCCTTCTCACCTGCAGTCTGGAGGGTGTGAATTCTGTCTAGAAAAGGCATCTTGCTTACGAGTGGGTAACTGGCTGTCTTCCCTTCACAGAAGTCAGAGATGTAGCTCCAGGTCTTGTTTCTCAGCGTCCGTGGGACTCTGGCTTTGGCAGGGGGATGTTGCCTTTTCCGTTTTTCCTCCTTAGCCTCCTCTTTCAAGATCCGACTGACAATCTCCTGCTTTCTGAGCTTTTGCTCCTCCTCAAAGGCCCTGCAGGAAACGCTTCTCAGAAGAGAACAAGATGCCTCCATCTTGGTTCCAGGTGACAAGGTGTGGCCAGGCATTCAATCAACCTAGTGTAGCTCAGGCAGTGCTCACTGAGGCAGCAACTGAGGGCAGGATCAGTACTGAGGACATCCATCTATAGGTCCATCCACCCACTCCCAACCCAGCCACCCATCCGTCCTCCCATCCACCATTCCACGAACTCATCCACTTACCCACCCATCCATTCAACCACCCATACACCCACCCATACACACATTCATCCACCACAAATCTACCCATCCACCCACCCACCCATCCATCCATCCACTCACCAATCCACTCACCCATCCACCCACCCATCCATCCATCCACCTATCCACCCACCGATACACCCACGCATCTATCCATCCAACCTTCCATCCAACCATCCACCCACCCATCCACCCACCCATCCACCCACTCATCCACCCAGACATCTACCCATCCACCCATCCATTCACTCACCCATCTACCCACCCATCCACCCACTCACCCACCCCCACATCTACACATCCACGCATATATCCATCCACCCATCCACTCAACCATGCACCCACTTATCCACCCACACATCAACCCTCCACCCATCCATCCATCCACTGACCCATCCACCCACTCATCAACCCACACATCTAGACATCCACCCATCCACCCATCCATCCACTCACCCATCTACCCACCCATCCACCCACTCACCCACCCCCACATCTACACATCCACCCATACATCCATCCACCCATCCACTCAACCATGCACCCACTTATCCACCCACACATCAACCCTCCACCCATCCATCCATCCACCTACCCATCCACCCACTCATCCACCCAGACATCTACCCATCCACCCATCCATCCACTCACCCATCTACCCACCCATCCACCCACTCACCCACCCCCACATCTACACATCCACCCATACATCCATCCACCCATCCACTCAACCATGCACCCACTTATCCACCCACACATCAACCCTCCACCCATCCATCCATCCACCTACCCATCCACCCACTCATCCACCCAGACATCTACCCATCCACCCATCCATCCACTCACCCATCTACCCACCCATCCACCCACTCACCCACCCCCACATCTACACATCCACCCATATATCCATCCACCCATCCACTCAACCATGCACCCACTTATCCACCCACACATCAACCCTCCACCCATCCATCCATCCACCGACCCATCCACCCACTAATCAACCCACACATCTAGATATCCACCCATCCACCCATCCATCCAATCACCCATCCACCCATCCACGTATCCGCACACTCTTCCACCCAGACATCTACTCATCCACCATTCCACCCATCCACCCATCCACCCAAACATCTACCCATCCAACCATCCATCCACCCACACATCAACCCTCCACCCATCCACCCATCCACCTACCCATCTACCCACTCATCCACCCACACATCTACCCATCCACCCATCCACCCATCCATCCACTCACCCATCCACTCACCCATCCACCCACCCATCCACGCAGTCATCTACCTACACATCTACCCATCCAACCATCCATCCACCCATCCATCCACCCACCTATCCACGCACTAATCGACCCAGCCATCCACCCACTCATCCACCCAACCACACAGCAACCCATCCATCCACTCACCCATCGACCCATCCATCCACCCATCTACCCAACCACCCACCCATCCGCCCAACCATCCACCCACCCAATCACCCACTCATCCACTCCCACATCTACACATCCACCCATCCACCGATCCTTCCATCCACTCATCCATCTACACATCCATCCATCCACCCACCCATCGAACCACCCACTCACCCACTCATCCACCCCCACATCTATGCATCCACCCTTCCACCCACCCATCCACCCACTCATCCACCAACAAA